TATTTTATTTTAAATGTGCTGCTCTACTAATTAAAAATTCCTTGAAATTTTTTTTCCCCTAAAAAAGAAAAGTCCTATTATATATTTGGAGCATATTACTGTATTATAGCTTTAATATTTGAGAAGCTTAAAATAATGCAATACCAGAATTAATATTTTCACGCAATTTCCTTTTTAGCGTCACATAACATCAGAATTGACATATAAATCAGATTAGGTATGCTATAAAATAAATTTTGTAAATATTTAATGAAGTATAAGAAGTTTTTTTTTCTCCGTAATAGATGGAGGCTCTTAGACCTTTGTCATGTCGACGCATAGGATCTTTTCTGATTTATAACTACGCTTACATTACCATTATACCTAAGCCCCTGGTGAATTGCAGTAATGTAGCCACCCCAAGCCTGAAGACTTCACTCGATGTCACAAAGCCTCCTCCGAAGAATCCCAGTAGGCGGCGAGCTAACACCTCGCATTTATGTAACAATTTATTGTTCCACCATCTCGTTCTCCTTCATAAGGCAGAGACGGCAGAAATTAATTTTTGTCCGGACAAAACTATCAACTTTAAAAAAAATGGTTAAAATTTAGAATTTTTCCAAATTCCGAATTAGTTTTGAGACAGTACTTAACAGAAATCTTTATCTTTTGATGTAAAATAAAAACTACATTGCTATAAAATATCTAACAAATATCGTAGATTTCAATTTTCCTAACGCAATATCATCACGACATACAATATTGTTATAAGAAAACTGAAGTTTTTGTTAGATAATATGCATGAGTATGTTACTAAAGCAGTTATTCTAATTATTTTAACTCCTTAAATGTAACAACAGTTTTAATTATATATCTGGAGAATGTTAATATTCGTTTTTCTCTTCTCTCTTGAAATTTTTAATTGTCATTTTTACATTTCACGAACAAACTACAATTTAATAATGCAAGAAGGCAACACTAAAAATCTGTATTATTCTTATACCTATGTACAAAACTACTTACAAATGAATACGATTGTAATTTGAAGCCGTGTTATAAGTGTTTTAAAAATTAAAAATAATTAAAAAAAAAAAATAAATAAGTTGTAAGAAATTAAAAACTTCCATTTTTCTGTTAAATTTTTAATTCGCAATTATGGAATTGAAAAAAAAATTACTTACTATTCTTGCAATATTAATTGCATTTGCATTTTATTATTATGTACTTTTATATATGTATAACATAATATTTCAGCACCTTATATACAATATATATTCCACTTAAAGTAATAAAGATTGAATGCTTTTTTATTCTATATTTGTTTTTATTATAAGACGCATTCTAATTTGTGCATATGAAGTTTTTTGTATAATAGAACGCCTTACGGATTGTAAATTTAAATTTCAAAAATTTCATTAGAAATTAACGTGACCTGATTTCATAAATAAAGAAGGATAAGTCTAAGTATATAAAAATTTTAAAATATTTGAACCCAAAAATTTTAAAAATGCTTTGCTACACAATCGAAAATCACTTGAGTGCCATTAGCCTTAATTGATTAATTAATATAAAAAAAAATGAGCCTTAAATGATTTTAACTATCACAGAAAGTAATTTAAGACGATTTTTTATTATACAGTAATAATTTCCAAAATAAGAGGGGTGGAGGAGAAAATGTTAAGAGAACTTGATCAGATGTTTTTTGTTTTAAAAAACCGTACTAAATTTAAAATTTAATTTAGGGCGATTTAAAACTTTTTAAGTTTGTAGTTACAGAATCAGGTCCAAAAATGGTACAGAATCACGATTATTTTACCTGTATATTAAGACTCTGTAAAATTAATATGTAAGAATAATTTTGGAATGTCAGTTAGAATCTAATTATTTAAAATATAATGGTGTTTCTATTCATTATTTTTATTGTTTCTATAAAAGACGGTAGTGTGCTGTAGTAAAAATTAACAAATAAATTAAATACGTGCTCCCAGAATTATGCAATGAAAATATTTTAATGAAACACAAATTTTAATTCTTAACGTACCTAATTACCTAAACTACCTAGAACTAGGCAACTGATATTGAAAATTCAATAAAAATGTGTCACTACTTGAACATAACTTACTCACCTAACAATATTTTAAACATAACAATTATCTAACAGATGTCGCTATGTTGAGTAGAAAAAGTACAATATTGATAAGAAAGAAAAAGTGTGATGATAAGAAAATTTTTAAGTAAAATTTAAAATAATTTAAACTTCTTTTAAGCGACGTCTGTTTTTTTTTAAATTATTATAATTATTATATTTTAATTAATTAATTTTTAATGTTTTATATTAAGTTTTTAGTATTAAAACATAATTTCTTTTTAAAATCCTTTAATATTTAACCCAAAATTTTTTGAAAAATGCTACCATCTTCTACAATACGGGCAAGTAGTATAGACTTAACAAGTAAATAAAATGAGAATTAATAAAATCAGAATTTATTAAAAATGTTGTAATACTATTGTACAAAAGCTTAACAGAATTATAGCAATTTATATCTTATTGACATTAAATAAGTGCCTACATTAAATAAGTGCCTACTTATACATACTATTGAAATTTAATAATTCCAATTTTATAATTTCTTATTAAACTGAAATTATAAAATTCTCATGAAATGAAAAGATATTTGCTATTATCACAGTTATAATGCAATATGATTAAGTAATTAATATAAAAACAGTAAAGCTTTTTTTTATCTATTTGCAATAATCAATCATTGTAAATAAATATGTAAAATAAATATAATTGAAGTATGTATAGATAGATAAACTAAAATACAAAATTTAAGTGTTTTCATATTAAAGTTTAGTTTTCATGAAAATTTCTTAGCATGACGACATCTAGCATTAACGAATACTTGAATTGAAAAGATATATGAGTTACCATAAAGTGAAATTTGCTTTATTTACAGAAGCGATAACTGGTGGAGAAAGGGAGGGGGGGGGGGGGGGGGTGATAATGTAGAAAAAAAAATCATTCTAACGAAATAAATTTTTTATTAAGGAATAATATAAAATAAAAACTAAGCTAAAAAATCAGATTTCTACAGAGCAATAAGAGAGCAATGAGCTAAGTTTATAAAAAAAAAGTTTATCTTAGCAAGATTTATCTATAAGACTCCAGTTTTTCCACTTTGAATGGTATAAATAGCGCATTTAGGAGTGGATTTAAACTAAAATGAAGTTTAGTCAGCTTTACAACATTTTAAAAACTATCACTTTTCTTAAGGATTTTTGTAGGCATTTATTTCTAATTCTAACACTAATATTCTATACACACAACTAATTATATAAATTTAATAGTTTAATTCAAAATTTGATTAACTTCCAACTAAATAATTTTCAATTCCACAATATTAATATTGTTGTGATTAATTATTATTAAGAATGAAAAATAGACATTAACATTCTTCGGAAAATAAAAGCGGTTTTGGAAATTTGAAAATGAATTTAGGTCACATTCAAAATTAATGATTAGACTCTATGTACGAGTATTACACAAATGCATATCAATATCCTTCATCTCAATTTTGGAAAAATTTAAATCATTTTTACTTCTATTTCATTACGTTCTTTTAAAGTTCAAAGATCACATTATTATCGCGTTATTATTTTTTACAGTTCTATACAAAATATGAATGATTTGTGAAGAATAACAAAATAAATTGTGAAAATTATAAAATATATAATTAAATTTATTTACAAACGCATAATATTATTCAATTTATCAAAATTAAAAATTCCTTATTTTTCTTGATTATTATGATTACATTAGAATTTATTTTGATAGGCAAAATCACAGTTCAATTAAAATTTCAATTATTATAATAAAAAAAAAAACAGACAAGTTTTCAAATTAATCTATAATATTTTAAAATTTTAAACAATGTTATATTTAATCTAAAATATTAAAGATAACTATTATAAATGTAAATTGTAAATGAGTAGAATGTTGATAATTTTTTTTTTGTATTTAAATAACCATTAAAATGATAATAGTACTAACACTTATATGGTCATTTATAAGGACGTACATATAAGATAAAAATTAAATAAATTAATAAGAAAAAAACATATTTATTTATGTCATTTAATTCAATTGTTCTTGCAAAAAAAAAATCATTCAAACCAAGTGGCAACTATAACATAATTTTGTAAAATTAACTTGAAAATATTGTAAATTTACAAGTACCTGTATATTATGTAGGTACTATATTAAGAAATAACAAAAGTACTTTTTATTAAGTATCATATTTTATTACTTTATTAGATAATATGAGATATGAGATTCCTTGACTTTAAAATTCAAGTATAATAAGATATCAATGAACAATTCATAGTTAAATGATTATAAGGAATATTTAGCTGTAAGTTTACTAAGTTTAGTTGTAATTTTAAAGTCAGTAAGATTATTTTATTTAAAGAAAAAATTTAATAGTACATAGTATAGATCACGTTATATTTTCTGACATCGGAACTTTAAAAATACGATATATATCGATACGTACAATTCAGCAATTGGCATTTATAAGCTGAATTCTGTAGTATTCCAATCGTATAGGATTGCTCTTGTTGCACATACTATAAAAAATATCCAATACTTAATACTTACTAATATATAATATTATAGCTTAATATATTTTAATATATGAAATTATTGAATGAATAAAAGCCAGCTAGAAATCGATTTAATGGGATTAACAATAAAAAGGATTTAATAGACCTGCCTGCCCTCATTAACCATATTATAAATGGTTTATGATAACCATATTAGCTTATTTTCTCTCATAAACATTAAAAATGTAAAATAGTCATAAATTTTATTTAGTAACTTTACAAAAAAAAAAAAGAATTTATATTTTATATATTTGGTTTTCAACTCTTTTCTTGCCGATTTTGAAAATTTTTTATATGGTGTCTATTATGTTTATGTCAATATAAAAAATAAAATTTCAATAGAATAGAAACTCCAATTTAAACATTCCATATATATTAACAGTAATATTGAAGTTACAGTAATAATTACTATAAAGTTACAATTACTATGAGTAATTACAATTCTAATGAGTTGAAATTTATAATAATAACGTATTTTAATAAAAGAATATCTTTTAAATTTCATAATTAATAAATTTGATCAAATCATTAATAATTCAAATAAAAATTTCATGAATTTAAAGTAAGATTTTCTAGAAAATTTACAAAAAAAAACCAAATTTTTAAAGTTTTTCTTCTTTTTATTAAAAATAATAGTTTCATTAATTTTAAAATCTAATTTAATTAAAATATTTTAAAAGAAAAACTAAAAATGATGATATTCCAATACAACTTAATTGTGCAACTGAACGACCAGCTGGATTACATCCATCTTTATTACATTGTATACAATGCTGGATAGTCATATTTTTGCTTTCTTCTTTTAATTTTAATCCACAATGTTTTACATTATATGTACATCCTTTATATACCATATTTGTAGCATTTTTAATACTACCATCTTTGAATGCAATTGACAAACATAAAAATTCATTTCCAGTAACATTTGTTATTACATTTTCAAAGGTATTTGCAAGTCGTGTTGTAGTATAAGCTGCATTTGTATCATTACATGTTATATTAACATAATTTGACATATTTCCATTATATTCGCCTTCATATGAATAGCATTTTAATGCATCCAAACCTATATATATGTAGGTACATGAACATAAATTAAAAGAACAAAAAAAAAAGAAATCTTATTATTATAATATAAATATTTATAATGAATTGTAATTAATTAATAAAAGGAAATATTTAAAAAAAAAAAGAAATCAATTTTTGAAAGAATTATGAAATTTTTTTTAATAATTGCTAAGACTGGTGAATAAACAAAATTCTTGGTCTTATAATATTATTTATAAGCCGAGAAGTTATAAAAATAAGCAAATAATTTATCAACGGCTTAAGAAGGGTAAAAATCCTCTATCAAAATTATACAAAAAAAAATTTAAAATAATTGACATTTAATAGAAAAAAATCCTACCGATTTCATATAATTAAATAAAAATAATTATACTACAATTATACTACAATATTTTAGAAAATAAAATTTTCTTTAATCTAAAATCAATATATTTTAAATGAATAGTATAGAAATAATATAATTTCGAATTTCTTTCAAATGATTTCAAAAATTTTTACAAAATGATAGAGGATTTATCACATAAGACCTTATTATGATTTAGCATTACATATTGGTTATTAGATTTTAATATTAAGCATCTTTTAATTCGCTCTAATTAATTATAATAAAATTTCATTTATAAAATTTTTCATTTCAAAACAGAATTATTTTTTTACAAATTCTTATAATAGAATAATATTATCAAAAATAAGTTTTGAATTGCTTGGTAAATGATCTCCTTCTATTAAGTTATAAGATGGGTTCAAATCATTATTATTCCTGAGGCTAATAAAATAGCAGCATTTTATAGAAAGAGTGTATAATACTTGGAAAAACAAAATTAATAAATTATAAAATTGGTGAAAATTACTATCCCGAATTCATATATTATCCCGAAATCACATATTATCATTATTAAATTTTTTTTAAGATTATTTTTTTATTAACAATCCATATTTATAGTATAGAGTTTAAAATTATAGAGTTTGAAAATTTATTCAGTGTAATAGTTGTGATTATAAAATTTGAAATTAATATTTTTGTTTTTGGTTATTATTTTATAGGTTCAGTATATATAGTATAATATTTTTGTTTATATACTTATATATAATCAAAATTTTAAAAATTTAGAATTCAAATTTAATTTTATTTATTAAAAATCATTAAAAATTGAAAAAAAAAAAAATTTTTCCCCATGTAGAAATTTTAGGAATTTTTTTTTTAATTATTTTCAAACACCAAATTATTTTATTAAAATTATTTTATTCAATTTATTTTGCTCTATTATAATATGTTATAATTATATAACATTGAAAAGAAAATCAAAATATTTTATTAAAAATTTTAAAATTTTTGTTTTTTTTTTTTTTTATTCAAATAAATTTTTTTATAATATTTTAAAATTATTTTAATATTTAGTTTCACCAATTATTTTTATAGCACAAAAATTGGAGTTTTATTATTTATGAAAAATAGTACTTAAACACTTGTAATAATAAAAATTGCATTTTTTTTTGTTTTACCCACCTATAAGGTAAGCAGCAAAAATAACAAAAACAGCTATTAAAATTTTTTTAAACATTTTTCTTTTTCTTATTTTTTAATTAAATATTAAATATTGTTATTTTTTTTTGTTAAATTTTTTTAAGCTCGAAAATTTTGTTGTTAACTTTTTAACCTGTTGGTTAGTAATCACACACTAAGGTAGTATTAAATTAAACTTTTTATATTTATTCAAAATTTTTGGGAATGAGGATTATTCTAGGGTTTTTTTTTTTTTGTATTTGTAGTGAATCGCGTATAGTGCCTATACTTTAAATGATAAGATAATATTCTTAATTTTAATGAAAATCGATTTGTATTGAGTTTTTATAGGTAAAAAGATAAAAAAAAAATTCTAAAATTTTTTTTGATTGTTGTGTACTGAAGTTTTTTTTCGTTTTCTAGTAATAAAAAAATTAAAAGCTCTTGTAAAAAATAATTATCAATTTAATATTCAATATTGAATTAATTGTACAATTAACTAGCGATATATCAGGTAAATATTTAAATATTTCTATTGAATTTATAATACCTATTTTATTTTATAATTCAATTAACAACAAAAATTTTGTTTTTTTTCAATATAAAAATTATTTTTATGTCAAAGGCGATATGGGAATACCTACATACATAATATGCATTTATATTTATAATATATAATTATATATTTGTAATTGATGACCATATTTTAAGTAAATTTTTAATAAATAATACTTAAATAATTACTTGTTACTTAAATATAATTAATACTTAAATACTTAATTAATTATTGCTCTTTTAATACAATAAAATACATGTGTTCTTAGTTTTATAAACATAATTGAAAAATAAGTATTTAATATTTAACAAAGGACATTAAACAATAGGAATTTAACGATAGCCCTTAAAATTCTCTAAAATAGCTGTGTTTCATATATACATACATATATGCATCCATATACTACCAATTTAAAAAAAAAAAATCAGTAATTAATAAAATGCATTCTCCTTGAATTGTGCATTAATGTTAGCGCATATTACTGTAATTTTGAAATCTTCTTTAATTTAGAAAATTCTTGATATCTATGTCGTCCTGTAAAATTTTTAATATTGATACAAACTATTGCCGAAATGACGAAATTCATTGTAACCTACCTAAATAACATTCGATAAAGTATAATATTTACATTATGTATGTATTACAATTTTTGTATATACAATAATAGTAAAATATTATAACATATTCGTTATCAATGAATTTATCAATATTTTGTATATTAAAAATATTTTGAATGACGCATTTATATATTTGAGAAGTATTTTGGCATTATTTACAGAATACAGAGCTTACTAATAATACAGAACTACTACGTACTTCTCTGTATTTAGAAGGCGGGAAATATTACTATACTTTGGAGATAAAAAAAAAACCATAATATACGTTATATGTCTCATTTCTATATTTATTTAATTTTTTTATAATAAATTTTTAGTAGTTAGATAAAAAGGTAAAAAAATTACACACATTTAATTAAAACAAATAATATATATATTTATTAAAATAACTTTTTAATATTTTCAATAACTAATAAATTAATTTTACTAAAAATGCAAATATTGATGAAATTCCTATTATATTCAATTGGCCAATAGATCTATTTGCTGGATTATAATTACAAAATTCCCATGAACATTGTTTACAATGTGTAAATTTAAATGATTTATATGGTTGTCTAACTTTTAATCCACATGTTTTAACATTATATGAACATCCTTTATAAATTTGTTCTCTATAATCATTATTAACTCTATATCCAATTGATATACATTTAAAATCATTTGTAAGTTTTGTTGGAGCATTTTCAAAATATTGATATAACATTAATTTTGTTTGATCGGCTTCCATATAAGTGCATGTTCTATTTGGGTATGTATTATTAAAACCTTGATTAATACCTTGATATGTATAACATCTTAAAGCATTTGAACCTATTTATTAAAATATATAAGAAAAAAAAAATTGATTAAAATTGATTTTCTCATTTAAGTAGATTAATGATACCAAAAAAATGTACTTATACATAAAAATAACTCATATGTAAATTAAAAGGTGAAATTGTCCAAAAATCATATGAGTTATTTTTCATAAAAAAAAAATGAAAGTATTTAATTTTACAGAATTTCAAAAATCATTATTACGATTTATAAATATCATTATGATTTATATGCAAAATTAAAAAAAATAATAATGAATGTATAAATTTGATTATGAAATATTGATTGCAACATTATAGCTATTTTTGAAATTTTCTGAAATATACTCGTATATCTACATTATATATCAGCAAAATTTTTCACTTCAAATTATCTTGAAATAAAACGATACCTTGACGAGATAATAATAAAGTTATTCGAATTAAAAGCGTTTAATAAAAATGAGTTTTATTAAAAATTGAATTGATTTCGTTGAATAGAACTTGTTGCAACAAACCGCACACGGTTTTTTTAAATATTGTATTTTAATATTTGCTAATTGAACAGATTTATTATGAATTAAAAATTAAATTTAAACATAATACATAATATTGAAAATATAGATGCAATTACATAAATAAAATTAATTAATTATTAATATTTTTAAATATAATCTTTTTTAATATTAGTTCAACTAGAAATAAAATAATTTAAATTCTCTTAAAACTTCTTATGTATTACATAATGTCTACTGTATATATGCACACAAATTTTTTATTAATTTTTTTGATTTAATAATCACATAAATTTTTATTCATTTTAAATATTTAATTATACAACAATATTAATATAACACTTACTTATAATATAAATAGAAAGAATAATAAGAAATGTTCCCAAAAATGTACGAAAAATCATTTTTTTTTTTTTTTCAATTTAAATATTCGTTTTTTTTATTTAATAAAATAAAATAAATTATAAGCACCAGCAACAGGACTTCCGTCTAAAAATATTGAATATTAATACAATTATGACTATATGTAAATTTATTTAATTTATTATTAATATTTTTTTTTTTACATTTTATCAAAATTTCTCTATATCTTTTACAATCATAATTCGATAAGATAATAAATTGGATCAGTCAAAAATTAATGATTTCAAAATAAAAATATAAATAAAATAATAAAAATATTGTATGATTCAGTATTGTATAGGAAGGAGATTGGTTTATAAAATAATTTAAGCGTTAATACATTAACATCTATATTTTAACTCCCAGACAACATTTTTAGAGTCAAATGAAACTTTTTTGAAATTTCAATCAAATTTTAACAAAAAACAAAAATGTATACATGTTAGAACAAAACCAAATCTATCACCCATATTCTGTTAGTAGCCTGACTTGAAGAAATCCGACATTACTGGAAAATATTTCGGATTTCATTGTAATTACTCACATCAAAGTCATGCGACTAACAGAACAGAATAACAGAATGTAAGTGATTAATTAGGTTTTGTTCTAATATGGTCAGTAACGAATCTTTTTTTTAAATTAGATCAAGAACTTACATCTCTATGTTTATTATCTCTTAAAAAATAAACAAACACAAAAAAGTATTCCTAATATTTGTAAAAAATTTTTATTGAAGTGCACAAATTATTCCGAAAAAATAATGAATCATATTGAATAGATTCATTCATATTGAACTTAGTACATTAATCATTATAATTTTTATTATTTAACTAAACTAATCTGGTTAAAACTTAAAAACTAATTATTAAAAGACCGTACTCAATATGTAAATTTGTTTACTGTTAAACATAAAAAACTAAAATTGCTACAAAAATTTTTTTTTTTTGTTTTCGATTTATTAAACAACATGTTTCAAGGAAAATCCAGTTTTCGTCATATTGAGATACACTTCAGTTCCAAAACAATGCACAAGCTCCCATCTCAAAATAATTATGTGAGTTATATCAGTTCCCATACAAAATTATAGTTATGTAAAATAGGAACCAATGTAATTTTATATATTATTCCAATATAAGTTTATTTGAAAAAGTTAATCATAACTCTTTGCCTCTCCCGGTTTTTTTTTCTTTTGAGATTTAAGCATCACCATATGAAATTCTTTTTCTTGAAATTTGTGTGAGAGTTTACGTCTTCTTATTTTTATTGTCTGCGGCACAAGCTAAAAATATAAAATAAATTTTTAAATATAAATATAAAATTTTTAATAAATGAAATTTTAAACACAATAATTGTAGAAAAACAAAAATCGTAAAAACTTTACTTTTCAACCGAGTTCATTAACCAATACAATAAAATTTTCATTAAAAAAAAAAAACAATTCCAGATGAAAATTTTTATCATTAATATTTTATTAATACAAATGTTTTGAATTTACATATATTTAATTATATTACGAGTATAATAGTATAAAACAAAAATTTATAGGCATATGTAGGAACACATCAAACAATTTATTAATCATGGATTAATTAATTGAAAGTAAAAAAAATATTCAATAAGCTTTAAGAAAAAAATTTAGAGAACTTAAATATATTTTGAATACCTTAAGACTACAACTGAAAATTCTTAAATACATTAATAAATTAATAATAAAATATAAGGTGTTAATGATAAAATCCAAATTATTAAATTACCTTATAGTATAATAAAATGTTTTTCAAGATGCAATTTATGTACATATATTTGTTATAACCAGACTATGTATCTCACTTTTTCAGCCAGCTTTACTCACTATCAAATAGAATTGTCTTTTCTCGATTAACACTTAATTTGTTTTTTTTTTTTTGTAGTCATAGAATAGCTTTAGTAATAATAATAATTTAAAAAAGAAAACGGATGTAGGTAGACCTGCAACATATATAATAATTTGTGATTTCTGCGTAAAATAAAAATATTTTTTCGTATGGCCCGGCGTTTTTCTTTACTTTATTATCGTACCAGCACGTGAGAAACTGTACAGTTCCGTTACGTCCAGTCGAATAATTTGCTTTAGACGTTTCATATACCCCTTGACGCACATATGACTCAGGAACGTATCAGTGCTTATCAAGCGCACCTTTCCTGAATCATATGTGGCTCAGCGGACAGGGAACTTGTTAAAAAAGGAAATTTTTTAAAATTCTCAGTCACTTTTGAGAAAGTGAGAAATTCCTACCATTTTTATTGATTCCGAATATCATCAAATTGTCTATAAATACTAAAATATCTACGTGTCTTATAATTTGTAAGAGCTTAATATTATACTATATTCTTTAAAACTACAATAAAACTTACATATGTTATTAATTTTTTCTTTAAATATTTAATTGCTTAATATTAAACATACATAACTATTAAGTATAAATACTTTATGTAGGTAGGTACCTAGGCCTACATACATACATAAATTTTTTTATATTTAAGAAAATTTGTTTTTTTTTTTTTTAATAAAATTTATATTCGATTAAACATTGCAATTTTGTGTATCGCATTGTTTACAATCACCAAATAGAAAATCTATGTACGGTTCTTTTAACGTTATATTGCAAGCTGTGGCGGAATATGAACAGCCCTTATATACAAGCTGATTAGGACTAAAATGTCGTTTCAGTGCTATTGTAAAACATTTAAATGAACTTTTCTTTTTTACATGTTCATATTCAAAATATGTTTGTAACCATTCTGTGGTTTCATCGGCTTCCGTATTGCTACAATTTACTTTTTTATACATTTTAACATCCTTAGGGTCATCATCAAAATATTTGTAACATTCTAGTAACACATCCGAGCAAACTGGATGGCCTTAAAATCAAAAAAAAAAGAGAAACATTCATAAGTACATAATTACATAATTTATAAATATTTGTAAATTAATTCGGCTTTAAGTGCAAATAATTTAAATAGTAGATGTGGAACATATTTATTTGGTTATATTATTAAATATTATCGGTTTGCTTCTAATTCTGTATAAAAAGAGGACGAAAGCAATGAATTTTCGTTTCTTTCTAAGCAGATATTCCATAGGAATTTTGAGATTTTGCCCCGCAAAATCGCTCTTGTTCTGTTTCCAACTTCGATAAAATATACATAAATAGTTCTAGTTTTTAGATCAAACTTCCTATTTTGAAACGATAATTTATAAATCATAGAAATACTTATTGTGCTATTTACACATCAATATTTATTAAAATTCAATATAAAATAAAACCTAATAAGCATTTAAACATAAGATTAATTTTATATCTTACTTATGTCGAACTTTTGACAATATTATTTTAAATACATACTTACATAATATGTATTTGAAATCTTTATCTAATATTAAAATTATTTATTTAGTTCTCTCTATTGTTTCTAAAAATCTGGCAGAAAATTTTAAGCTGATGTCAGATTTCGATTAAACATTAGATTTTTATCTGATTCAGATTTAATTTAAGATTTAGTCTCATTTTACTTAAGCTAACAATTTTCTAATACTTAATTTTTGTCAATCTTTTATTTTATTTTCTATTAGTTTTTAATAGAAACTCACAATAAATGGTCACTCTATACATAAAAAAACTACTGTCTCACTATTGTTTCTTTTATTAAAAAAAGCATTCACGCCGCGTCCATTATATCTATGACATTTCATTACATTTATATACACATATAAGTAAATAGTCTCTGGATTTGTGTGTAAGTGCATAGCAAAACAAAATAAAAGATTCAATCTTCTATTATAATAACCTACAAATTTATTCTTGTCAAATTAATTTCGGGGAATTCCCGTTAAAACAAAACAATGTATCACTGATAACTTTTTTGTGTGTGTACATACATACATATGTATATATATTATTATGTTAAGTACACATGAATGCTTTTTTTTTCTTTATTCTTAATTAAAAACGACATTTAACAAATTTATTATGAAAACATTTTATCCAAATCAATTTGTTTTATCAAAAATCTAAACTTTATCGAAATATACCCGATAAATTCGGCACTACGCAAAAGTTTTTCCAAAAGTTACACTATACGCTCACTTAATTATTAAAGATAAATTTATGTAGACATTACCTAGCTAGGGTGAATAACACAAAATTATTTGGATTTATTTTTTAAAATAAAAAAAAAGCCGGTTAGCACAGTTACATAATTGTCTGTATGCATTGCACGTAAATATGTATCTAATCTAGATATACTTGGCAATGCAAATATACAACTTCACTGGCACAGTGTTCTTTTAACTTTAATTATTAAAAATTTCAACTTTTTAAAAGATCTTTTCAATGTTCATATTTTATTAATTTACTAACCTATATTATGTATAAAAAAGAAAATTACAACAGTAACCAAAAATTTATTTAGCATTTTTTAATTAACAATATTATTATTATACTTTGCTAGCAAAAAAATATAAAAATGTATAGCTATAGTTCAACAGTATAACAACGACACAACAACTGATGTGATTCTGATATAAACTGAATATGTATTTGATACTAGATGGCATTGAGGTGAAAATGAAATAGCAATGAGAAAGTCTGTATAAACATTTACACAATGTGCTCAAATTAATCTTAGAAAACAGCTGATAGCATATATTTTGTGCAAGTTTTTTTTAGTTTCACCTGGAATTCAAACTTTAACTTAAAAAAAATATTTTTTTTAATAGAAAATTACTTTTATCACTTTAATGATTTAATAAGGCATTATTATTATGCTTAATCTTTACAAACTTATTTATTTTAAAATGTTAATTTAGATTAATATTATTTACATATTATTTTCTGAACAAAAAAAATTATAATAGCTTCTTATATATATTAAATAATGGATAATGAATATAAATTAATATTTTGGAAGGTATCTAACATATTTTAAATTTGGTACTGCTAAGAAATACTTTTATCAATACTTCTGTATTAATAATAATACAATGTATGTATGTATATTAATTAAGTTTACAAGTACTTCTAAATAAAT